GGAAGTAGGCATAATGAATCGTGGAATCCGAACTTTGTTCAAATAATTAATACTCTTATACTAGTTATCCCAGGAGGCAAGAAAATCTTCGGAAATGTCTGCATTCCACTCCAATCTCCTTCTCCAGGTGTCTTACAGAATTAATTTAGTAGGCAGAAGCATTGGCGCTGAGTCAGATATCTAAACTTCATATGACAGAAGAGTTCTTCGAGTCAGCTTTGCTCTAAATTCAAACAGTCGGAAGCAGATACTAGAACTCAAAACATTCCATTCTTTACCCAAGGTTCTCTCGTTTTTCTCTTTAGATAGAAGAATGTCGATGTTTCTTCTAGCGCGGTCTTCTTCAGGGATGAACCGCATTAATTCTCGGCTATTTCTAGTCCATTTATTCAGATGAGAGCCTCCTAGTCTCAGAATTTGCTTCAACTGGGCATAAATCAGCTTACTGTCAACGAATGTGCTAACACTAGCAAACAGATCATCAACATAGAACTGTTCTCTAGCTATTTGAATAACACACTTATCAGTCATCACATGCACCTCTGGCACGTTACAGCCAGCAAGCATCCTAGTCTTTTTATTCCTCACATCTGGTATGAATACGCCACCCAACCGAAAGCTGCTACCTTGACGTGGTGGTCAGGCTTGAACACCGCAATGATCTATTCAAGCTATACTGGCTGAGACTTATGTCTCTTGAGGTCCTACCATGCCAGGCAGGTTGTTTGGATAGCGGTTAAACAAAAAGCAGCTACCCAATCCAACATCATGTCCAATACAAAATCACAAAATTTCATGCCGGATCGGCCGTGGCCCGGATTAACAACGACCGCGCTTCCTGCTGCCGTGTCACAGGGCAGGAGTGATAAATCTGCTACTGAGACACACCAAACAAAAAAGAACGAACAAAAACAGGCCGCGTGTGACCGGCCTCAAGCAGTTGTCCCCTGGGCTCTGCGGTCACGCAACCAACTTCCACGGTGTGGGCAGCCGGGAAGTAACAATCGCCCTCACAATCCGAAACGCACGCGAAACCTCTCTACTACTCACTCATCTTTGTTTTCATCTTCATCTCTATCATCTTGCCTTCCTTCCACTGATGCAACTCCTCGACTTGATAGCTCTCCAATTCCTCTCCACTCTGCGTCCACTAAAAACGATGGAAGCCCAAAAACCACCACCGACAGCCTCTTACAGCCGCGCCACCAATTTCATATAGGAGCTCTTAATGTTAGGACGCTTTGCCAAATAGGACAACAAGCATCACTAGCCAAGACCCTGGCATCACGAGCCATTGATGTATGCTGTGTTTCAGAAACACGCATACAAGACCCAAGTGTGGTTATTCACCTAACCCCACCTGGCCAACAGGTTGAATCTGCAAAATTCACCTTGAGGGTGTCAGGAGATGCCACAGCCAGTTCACGAGGATTAGCTGGCGTAGGGATAGCCTTGAGTACTAGGGCAGAAAAGACATTGCTTGACTGGATCCCGGTAGATAGCCGAATGTGTGCTGTCCGCCTGAACGGATCAGTAAGAAGGAGGAAGGACTGCACTACTCGCCGATGCCTTTTCGTAATCTCCGCCTACGCCCCCACTGACTGCAGTTCAGATGAAACGAAGGATGAGTTCTACCAAAAGCTGTCTAGTTTGGTGAGAAAGGCTAAACGCTCAGACATAGTCGTTCTAGCTGGTGACTTTAACGCTCAAGTAGGGAAATTGTGTCAATCTGAGAAGGATGTCGGTGGCACCTATGGAGTTCCGTGCCAGCGAACCGACAACGGTGACCGTCTCCTACAGTTCTGCTCTGATAATCATTTGTTTCTTGTAAGCACTAACTTCAAACACAAGGAGAGACACTGTTTGACTTGGAGACCCCCTTCATCAAACCAACGCTGGACACAAATAGACCACATAGCAATAAGCTATCGTTGGCGTGGGTCGGTAGGAGATTGTCGCTCCTTCTGGAACACGTGCGTAGATACCGACCATGCACTGGTCCGCGCTCGGGTGTGCTTACGACTGAACGGACGTAGGAAACAGCTGGCGGTAAAACCATCACGTCCCCAGCTCGATCAGGAAACTAAATCCGTATTTGAGGAAGAACTAGCTAAACACATATCTGTGTTCGACAGCTGTGCTCACCCTGAAGAAGCTTGGAAAAATATCCAGGCAGCCATAGATACAGCTGTAAAAGCTGTGAATAAGGTAAACCCAAAGGTGAGTAAAAACCACTGGATCTCCACCGCCTCATCCGAACTGATAGATGCTAGAAGACTTATTCCGGCGAGCTCCGAATTCAATGAGGAGCGAAAGCTGCACAAGAGGAAACTTACGAAAAGTCTCCGCAAGGACCGTGAACAGTGGTGGGCGACAAAAGCCAAAGAGATGGAGAAAGCTTCGAGGATAGGCAACACCAGGCAACTCTTTGGACTCATCAGGGAAACGGGTGGGAGAAGACAAATCATTAGTGAGACAATCTCGGAAAAAAATGGCACTATAATTAGCTCACAGGATAGACGACTGGATCGTTGGAAAGAGCATTATGAGGAGCAGTTTAATTTGCCCACAGCCACGCTCAACCTTCCGAGCATCCAACACCTCCCTGAATGGGATATAGACACAGGTCCTCCGTCACTAACTGAGGTTACTAAAGCTGTCACCAATCTGAAACTAGGCAAAGCAGCGGGACCTGATGGAATGACTCCAGAGGTATTTAAGTACGGTGGAGACAGCTTACTGTCCGGATTAACTGAGGTACTAGGCAGCGTCTGGGAATCAGAAGAAGTCCCATCGGGTTGGTGTAAGTCACTGATTATCCCCATATACAAGAAGGGAGACAAGTCTTCCTGTGATAATCACAGAGGGATTAGCTTGACTAATATAGTATCTAAAGTCTTAGGCTCAATAATCATGCGTAGACTGAGTGGTGCTCGGGAAGCACAAACACGAGAGAGCCAGGCAGGCTTTAGACCAGGAAGAGGGTGTATTGATCATATCTTCACCCTCCGACAGATTCTAGAACATAGGCATTCCTACCGGCGTCCAACAGTCATTATATTTCTTGACCTAAAGGCAGCATTCGACTCTGTCGATCGGGAAGTTCTCTGGAGATGCTTGGCTGTAAAGGGAATTCCAAGAAAATATATTGCACTGATTAAGGCACTCTACTCGTACTCATACAGCCAGGTGAGGGCTTACGGCGAGCTGTCATCTGAACTGATGACGACCAGTGGTGTCCGTCAAGGATGCCCATTATCTCCTTTTCTATTCAACTTCATCATAGATGTGTTAATGGACTTAACCCTAGGTGACTTCAGCGACTCAGGGATTGACTTGCTACCGGGGAATAATCTCGTTGACTTGGAATATGCAGACGATATAGTCCTTCTAGGCGAAGACGCTGACGAAATGCAGAGTCTTCTAAACACCTTGAGCCGCAATCTACGAATGTTTGGCATGCGATTCGCTCCCGCCAAATGCAAGATGATGTTACAGGACTGGACTACATCGACGCCTAGTTTAAAAATAGGAAGTGAAGTGGTAGAGCACGTTGACCGCTTCACTTATTTGGGAAGTACCATCAGCCCCAACGGGTTGATCTCTGACGAAATCTCAGCACGAATACAAGGGGCTCGTTTCGCATTTGTTAGTTTACGCCGACTCTGGCGTAGACGAGATGTTCGACTATCGACCAAAGGGCGGGTGTACTGCTCATCAGTCCGCTCCGTCCTCCTTTATGGTTGTGAGACCTGGCCACTGAGAGTGGAAGACATGAAAAGACTAGCTGTCTTTGATCATAGGTGCCTGCGTTCTATTTCCCGTGTAAAGTGGCATAATAAGGTGAGCAACATGGAGGTTAGGCGTAGAGTTCTAGGTAAACAGGGGAAATCAATCGACGAAGTCGTGAAGCTACAAAGACTGAGATGGTTAGGACATGTGTTACGTATGCCAAGCCATCGCCTCCCTCGACGAGCAATGTTAGCGGATATAGGGTCAGGCTGGAAAAAAGCTAGCGGCGGTCAAACAAAAACTTGGCATCAGTCAATGAAATCCACAACAGTTGGTCTAAGCCACGTAGGAAGGTGTAGACTTCCAGGCTGGGGTCCTCGGGACGGTAAAAATCTATGGTTGGAAACAATTGGTGACATGGCTCAAAATCGTTCTCAGTGGCAGCGCAGATGCATCCACTCCTTGTGACTTATGATCTCCAATGAAACTGTTTTGTATTTCTTTATTACTCCTCCTTTGTCTCACACCTCTGCTCACTGTTTCTATTATGCTTTTCTTGTACTTTCTTCTCTTGCTTCGCGTGCTACACGGAATGTGGCGACTTGAACTTCCGCACATTTGTGCAAAGTTCTATGTCGAAAACAGACAGACAGACATGAATACGCCATGTATGTGTCTGCATGACGATGTCTGATCTATTGTCGGCACAACTCTTCACAGCTTGGATAATGCCTTTACTGTCCATGCTGTAGACACAGTGAGCCGAGCAGAGGAATCTAGCGGAGAAACTTCTAGTTGTACCTGTCTGCATGATACAGTAAAATATATAAGCTACATATGACAAAAGAGTACAGCTATTCAGCTTTGCTCTATATTCAAGTTTTCAGAAACAGATATTGTGACTGATTACATTTCATTCAATGCCCAAACTTCTCTCTCATTTTCGTCTTTAGATAGAAGAATGCTGATGTTTCTTTCCGTGCGAAATCCTTCAGCTACTTCCTCCTTCACCAGAATAAGATATCTTATACAAGCGTCCTCTGAAAGTCACGTTTCTCGTTCAAGAGTCAAAGAATAAGAATAAATAGGAAAGCAACACAACATCACTTCTAAAATAGTCATAATAAAATAAACTTAACATTGCTACATACACACAGCCATTCGATTTGTACTCTGATCTCTAGCTGTGGTCTCTGACAGAAAACATCAGTTGTCGTTCATAATCTCGTTTATATTATGCATATTAACATGTACCAAATTTACTTTCAGGCTCAGAAGAATGGCATATATGAAATGATCGATGTGTACAAGGAAAGATCATGTGCAGTTACAATAGAGCAGGCAAAAACAGCACCCAACAACCCTGAGACATTCGATTCATCCTCACTTCCATCTTGGAGTTATCAACGAGATAAAAGTATACAATATGCAAAAATCTAACTGCAAATTTAGCAAGTGAAGAAATGAGTAATGTAAAGCTGTTAACTGTACAAAAAAAATGTGTGTATGTAGTGCAATCAAATCCAAATTTCATATTTCACTTTTTCTTCTTTGTCCATACTTTACGCCAAACAGACTTCTCAGATTTCTCATCGCTCAAAACTGTGTCTCTTGAAGTATCCTTTACTGCTGGATAGGCTTCTACGAAGCGAGCAACCTTCATTTCTGAATCATGAGACACAGCATGTTTCAAACGCATATGTAGTCGTTTAGCCACTGAGGTTTTATGCTTGTGGTCAGTTCTCTTGTCAATTATTGGAACTGGGTTACGTGACAAGAAGGAAGTAGTCACGGAATGAGCAAGAGATGACCTCTTCCCAGATCTTATTTCGAGTGGAACTGTGGCTAACTCATGAGTGCTGCGAGTTCGGGAGAGAGTGACTGAATTCAACAGATATTCTGGGGTTTCTGGTACACACGGTGATTCGATTGAAGAAGCGGTTTGTGAAGAGATAGTCTGCAAATAATTAGTAAATAAATAAATATTTATTATTTCAGTACCACCGTAAAACAAGTCGTTTCACTAATTGTAAACTCGACGGTCAGTATAATTAGTGATTTACAAAGGCATAAAGTGAATTCACCACGTCTTATTTTGATTCCTAGGTTTTAAACGCAGGAAGTACATAGGTTATCAATCACACAAGTTATGCATTCTGAAACTTAACTCCCACAACTATGTGACTGGCTAAGTGACCAAGGATAGAAGTCCGGTGAATTAAACCGGAAAACTTCAAGGAGAAGTCTTTCAAAGCACAGAAAGATTAGCGCACTTCCTTGTATTCATTGTTTATAAATATATTAAGTAAGGTGTACTCCAGTGATTCCAGGATTTAAAAGAATATACCACATCATTTTAGCTACTACTGAGACTTTATGATAAAGTCTCCAACAACATTACTTCCCTTCAGGATCCTACACACAGAAGTCCGAAACTCCCCACTAAGATTAACACCAATAATTCCAAGGATTGCCGCCGCGTTCATGTTCTGAAATGAATGAAGTGGTATATGCCCTCAGTCATTTTCCTCCTTATCCATCCATCAATCAGGAGTTGGCTCAGACCAAACGTGAAAAGAGACAAATACGTGCCGAACATATTCAGCATTCGTAGCAGGATGTTCAGTAGTCTCTCCGCGTTTACATTTTTAAACACCATATACACAACTAGCGATACATGTATGAATACACCTATTATGCAATCGCTATCACCAATAACACTAGTAACGATGAACATTTTTGGCGGGGACACATTAATCTGTGTCGTCAACACTACCCTATACTGTGGTGACAGCTTTCTTCATGTGTGTTGACTTCTGTCTTCCTTATCCTTATTAATTCCTACGTAGTCACATGATTTTCAGCATCTGAGATATTACTATTACAAGAAAACTCATCCTTACGGAATATTGAGATGATCAACTGTGTCGTACTCTCTCTCTCTTTCTCTCTGTCTCTGTATGTCTAACAGGACCATCGAGGGTTATGCTTCAACTAGTAGATTTGTGTAATCTGGTCAGTAATTTATCACCACTACATTTAAACAGCTTCACAGCACGAACCGTCATTCCGTCTCACTTCACCCTTATGCGCTTTACAACGAAGCCAGTCTCATCCACCATCAATGAAACTTGACTGATGGTCCTTATATCAATTAATGTCTTCTTTGGATGCCAAGTCGAATTAGGTAATTACTAGTCAATGAGATCATGTTTATCAATTTGACTTTAATTAGACGGTTTTCTAATGAGTTGTTTCACAGTCCCGTCTGTGTCTTCAGCCTTCAATATGATCATCGTTCCGTCTATCTGCTGCCAAACCCCACTGATTCGTTCATGAAGTAAACTGCATTCTGTAAAAATGAGTCATCTTTGTAACTCCATCCTTCCCCACGCCCTCAAAAACTAGAGGTGCTAACAGCATTTATCTCATGGAATAACTAACTCTAGTTTACATTCCTCGCCAGCAGTAATATCACAAATGTATGAGCGCATAAAAATGAAAGCAACATTTCAAGCAATCTCTACACTATTTATGATAAACATACTTCTGAGTCTGGCTGTCGTCTGATCACCTCTCCGACTGACTTGCGTGCAGAGTATAATCGAATAATTCCGTACCTTCTGGAACAAAAGCAACAGCAAAATAATAATTGTAAGACAGTTTTACTACGGTGATAATAATAGGTACAGTGCAATGTGACTTTCCCCTTGCTCACAGTGGCAACCAACAATGACAACAAACAGTGAGGCAAGATAACTTGAGCAGTGAGTGACTAAATCTAAGCTAACTAATTTAGCTCCCCTCCAGTAGGTATGGATGACGCGTGAAATCGAATCCCAACTCCATCTCATCGTTACACTAAATCCGATTTCTGCTTACTTCAATCAATATAAATATCATCATTTCTCCGACAGACCTTAGTATTCGGCACTAAACATTGGTACTACAAAATAGTCGGTAGTTCTGCCGCTCCTGCTGTATCAGAATGACTTATCGAAACAAAATCAGTGTGTAACTCCAATTTCTCACATTCAATAACGGCTTTCGGCCTCAACACGAATATGTCCAGCCAGTCGTCCGTGGCAGTAAAGGTTCTTTCATAGTCATCTCTAAGCACCAGGCTTCACAGACACATAAGAACCGCAATTTCATTCTTCTATGCTAGTTAGTATATGTGCTTTCTTCCTGAGACCCAGCGCTTCGGTCCAGTCAAAGAAATATTAACTCCCTTTCGAAGATAGAGAACGCCATTCTACCAACATTTGGCACCAAGACACTCATTTCAAGTGTGTAGAAGATTTGATGAGGATTAGCGGTCATACAGTGATCAATCAACTCTCAACAAGAAAATGGTAAATTTCTGTACCAATGAACACAGAACTTAATCACGACCACATATAATTTACAACTTACCCATATTATCTGTACTTCCTGCGTTCGGATCCACCTGATACTGGTGATGTCTGGCTCTTTTATGAACGATTATTCTCACCAGTTTCGCTTCTTCCCCATCAGGAGGAGGAACTGAACTACAATGATAACTCATAGAACTTGACACTACATAGCAAGCAATGTTCCTCAATGTTTCTCGATTAACGGGACCAATCGCCTTGACGAGGGAAGGCCATTCTAAAATTCGACAAACACCATTATTCCTAGTGATACGATCAACTTATAACACCACACAGACATAAGATACACGTCAATTAAACGGAGAAGGCCATCACTTACGTCGACAATTTAGACAGTTCCACCATAAATTATTTTTCATTGAAACCTCACACCTCTACACAAAATTGCAACACTTCAGCTTTTCACATTTTAGAAAAACATCACATAAACTTAGAGAAAAAACACACAATGAAACATCAACGGGTATAATATATACCAGAGAGATTGTGTAGATGAGTAAATCTCTACATATATACATGACCTGCAAGTAAAAGCATCAATACAACTCAACATCTCGAAGATACCAGTCGCAAAAGGCCAAGAACAACGCTCAATAACCGCACATACTGCTACCATGTTCTTGTCTCAGTAACACCTTTTCAACCTGATCCCATTTCAGTGAACGTTATTCGTCAAAACTCGTGGCTATGAATACAACATAGCCATTACATCAGGTGAAGTTTCACAATCCTATCGGCTGTTTTCTCCACCCAACATATCACTCTATATTTTACCTCATGATAACTCATCATGCATATTATATCACCTACGGTCGGTCAATAGACAGCTGAAGATTTCAGGTGCAAACCATCATACAACATGCGAAATGACAAAACAACCCATTTCTTTATGTCCTGAGTTCTCGTCGGCAACCAGTCCACTAACTTGCCTGGCTGCAACTTTTCAAATAAGTCAGTCAGTCGTCAACAACACATCCAGCCATTACACTCTTTATGCATAAACTACCACCAATAGGCTCAGTCAATTGACACAAAACACACCATCGTTGCACATTCCACAGCATACAATCACATTCAGAACATAAACTGACACGTCTTCTCAGGGTGATTAGAGGACTTCGCACTTTGCTAGTATTTGCATATTCCAAATCAACAACACACCTTCGTCTGCGGTTAATTTAAGTCGTCTTCAAAAGGATATACATTAGAGACGTCATTCATCTGACTCAGTGCAGCATCCGTATCCATCAGAAAAACTAGAAGTCAATGATGCGATTTTGTAGATATACAGGAAGCTGCTGCATCCAGCAGCTATAACTCCAAACATGACCCCCCCCACACACACACACATACACAGTCATCTACATACACCACAATGCTCCAAAGTTCTACAACACAGTGAAATCACTGTCTTGTACTGTTCACCTTCCAGTGCACCTCTAACTCATGTCGATCGCTGACCCGATGGCACCTTGAAACACACACACACACAACTAATCCCAAAACTTCTGAGCAATTGAATTCGCATAGTAAATAAATTCAAAAATATTTCACACTGATAGCAGTCAAGAGACAATCTTATTAACAGTCAGGATGGATCGATGGATGCGTACCTACTACTCAACTCACTGCTTCGTAAAGATGTCGACGATGATCACGATGATGATGACATAAAGTCTGACATTTTACACACCAATTAACAGCTAGTTAGTTAGTTAGTTAGTTCCTCAGTACTGGGATTCTTTAAAAGTCTGCAATTATACAAATGATGCATGTAACAAGCATAAACGACAACCGAAATTAAAACAAATTTCAACACTAATCTAAACGCGTAAAATTATCCCAGATATTATCACAATCACAACTAAAATGATAAGCGAATATTATATACGACGATTATTACATACCGTTTGATGAACACATTTGCACAGCAACATCGCAGGTTGCATTCTTAATAGCTTTATTAGTTGTAGACATTTCGTCACCCACTACACTTCTTTTCTCACCTTCCTTTATTGCACCATCCTTGTCAACCAGGTTCAGCAAACTTTCACATACCGATTTCGAATCCTGATTTGCTGTCGCTTCGACACCTCTACGACGGCATACTCTTGATAAATCGCTGCCAACATCTGAGTTTGACCGAATGCTTCGACGACCTGAAACAGGAAAAACACGACGTGCAAACTAGTATATGTCAAAGACAATATATTACAATGTTAACTCGAGTTTATTACCATATATGACTGTAGTGAAGCATTCCTCAAAACTGATGCAAGTGTATCTATGCCAACCCGCATCAGGAATTCAATTTTACATACAACGTGACAGTCAAGGAGTGTAGAAACACGGAAGCGCCTGCAATATCATAGGCATGCCGTACTAATAAGTCATACCACAACATACATGTCACAGTCCTGAGTATAGGAACTTTACAACAAACATAGTTTCAGGGTAAGCTGAGATATGACATATACAGCCACCTACCTACCCAATTCTACAGTCTATTACACACGAACAATTTAAAAGATGCACACAAATTAAACTTGTCAGTCTACATACCCTGTGAACAATGAAAAGTCCACTTCACAAATCCAACATCTACACCCTCAAATTTTCTACTTACCAAATGATTAATATCAAAGACTTACTAAGTCATTGATATCATCGGTGGCATAGCGGTTAGGACGCTCGCCGACCAGGCGCATGATCCGGGGTTTTATCCCAGGCCGACGCACTCCTTTACTTCGCTAAGCCAGAAATAATGCTGGTAAAGAGGAAAGGTTGGACATCAGGCTAGCAACCCAATCCTGTAAAATAAACACCACTGCTACAGAAACTTCAAGACACTAGCTTGAAGCCCTATGTTCCACTAGGGAACGTGAAGGAAAATAAAGACTGATAATTCACAACACACAATTAAACAGCACAAGACAACTCTATACTTACCAACTTCACTGTTCTTCCCAATCAATTCTAAAGGTGTACTTAACTCATTTTTCTCAAACTCTGCACGTAAAAGGCGCAATCTATGCACATCCAACACTTCCTCCGTTTTGATCAACTGCTCTCTTGTCTCAGTCAGCTGTTGACGACTAGACAACCATCCAGCTTCCAATTCACTCACCTGCTTCCGATGCAAAGATGGGGAAGGAAAAGAGAAGCCGAATTCAATGTACAGCACAATTAACAAGGAGAGAATTGAAGAAAAATGCTGAAAAAGACAACAGACAATCCTACGACACAGTGGAAACGGAAGTAGAACAAACAGGCTGCAGATCTAGTTTCAAAAGACGAGCAGCAAAAGGAACTTTAAGCTGATCACTTCACCGCTGAACTGCTAGGTCGACCACCACCTATCTGCTTGTCGTTCAGAATAACCACCACCACAAACAGACAGACAGAGAACTGCCAGGAAAGTGAATACCTATCTTCTGACAAGAGCAATAGTCTTGAATGTCACAGAACTAATAGAAGCCAGATGATGAGACAGCATTAATTTGCTCACTCAGTTGCACGCGTAAACTATGATTCACAGCTTTCGATCCATTATACACCCTTTCGAGATCACTAAGTCTTCAATTCAACCTCTCTACTTCGATGGCAGCCTCATCGATTCTCTTCAGATCCTCATCCATCTTCACTTTATTATCGCCAAGATGACAACGCAGAGACGTCACCTAGACAAAATAATTGCCATTCATTTAAATCTGAAAACACACGAAGTCATCGTCTTTGTATATATGATAAATTTTATGGTAGAGGTACATTGAGAAGGTAATCAGTCGGCAATTCCTCACTAAAATAATATTTCCCCTTCCAAACAACTAATCAAGTCACTCACTTGAATCCTCCTTATACCAACACTTACAGATTTCTCTTCAATGCACATCTGAAAAATCAATATCTCTACTACCACACACAGACAGCTACATGAAAGCACCCTCAAACAAATCTTCCCTCATAATTTATTTCAAAGTGTCAGACAAATCAATCTTCCACATTTTGAAAAACGCCCAAACAACAACTGTTACCACCTTCATGTCGTAGCTGCACTGACAAATACTTAATAAGCTGTGCTAGCTGTGGCACTGCTTTCTAAACATCGTACTGTCATTCTAACAAGGCATCTTTGCATAACAATAAGACAGTAATGAGTTGTTATGATTATTGGCTGCTCAACTATCTTACACGACCATGCCATTTTGCATAGAAGATGGAACAGCAGATTCATTCCAATTACTAGTCAGGCCGTCAGTCAGAGATGTTGACACCAAACACCGTGTATTCACACTCACCCAGTCAACATTCAGGGTACCTAAATAGGCGTACATTACTTCGAATATGCGCAATGCGCTTTGTTACACACCCTAATACAAGTTAATCTTACTACATCGACAGGAAGCTATACTTTCACTCCACCCAGGAATCATTCACTCATCAGGTCCTTTAAAGTTAGTCGATAAGTTCTTATGTCTATCAAATACGCAACTAGACGACCGCTGGCAGCCGCCTGTGACTGATGCGTGAGATAAACAGCTAGGTAGCATCCTGCAATCTTCTCCTACTCACGACTTCTCAAAGTAACACAAAGTGATGAACAATCCTCACATCATGTCCTCTCAACAACTAAGCTTACATGCTTTCAACATACTACTCCTGGTGCCACTTTTTCTCAATCAATCTAGTTCTTTTCAGCCTTCTATTGTCTTCTCTCCCATGCATCTCTCCGTCCATATCTGTCGAGTTGCAAAGCTTTTAGAACTTCGTTTCATCCGTTAGAACCGAATTTATTTTATCTACATAATCGTACTTATTCATCAGTACTACTCCGGCTCTTTATCAGGTCTACTGATTATAATGTTTTAGTCGTACAAAAACCGGACTTCCTCTTCGCCCAGTCCTAGATATGTCAAATTCCACCGACCATGGAGTGGCAAAGTGGCTAGGTGAACTCCTCCAACCATTACACAAGATGGTAGTAAATCATAGTGTTAAAGACGTTTTTGAAATTATTGCAAACGTGGATGATTTCAGTGTAAATGGAAGCAAATGCTTTCCTTAGATGTAGCATCACTGTTTACCAATGCACCACTCATAGAGACTGTGGAATCTCATATGCCAACAGATACTAGAAAAACAGTTCGACATCGGAATTCCAGTTTTTAGTCTGAAGGAGTTGCTTTCAAGATGTACTATGAATGTACACTTCACATTCAACAACCTTTACTACAGAAAATCGACAACATTGCCACGGGTTCTCCATTGGGGCTAATTTTGGCAGATTTCTTTCTTCCTAAGGTGGAAAATGGTCCATTGAAACAAGTAATAGAAAAAGCTGATTCTTATTTTCGCTATGTGATGATACATTTATTATTCTTGATGTGAAAGCTGACAAGAATGAAATGTTAATAAAATTCAATGATGAACATCCATCGCTCAACTTCACTTGCGAAGAAGAACATCATAGTAGACTACATTTCCTGGACGTCCAATTGAGTATAAGAGAGGATGGTTCACTCAAGAGAGACGTCTATGAAAAACCTACATCTGTAGGACAATATACACATTTCCTCAGTTTTGTACCAATCTGATACTAAGTCAATTTGGTCAGATGCCTCACGAACAGAACAAGACGTATTTGTACAGATGACTCCCACAAAATGAGTTAGGATAAATCCAAAATACGCTAATCCAAATGGGTTATCCTAGAAGATTTGTAACGAGACACATGAACACCAACTACAATAAAGAGAAACTAACAACAGTTGAAAAGAAACAACTGTTTATGAAATTGCAGTTTAATGGGGACGTGGCTAGCGAAGTCTTACATCTGAGATTATCGAGAGCGTTAAAACGGACTTATACTGCCACCACCCTTTGTTTGTCATTTTCCAGCTGGCCAATTATGACTGCTCAAGTGAAAGACAAGCTACCTAGCTGTACCACTTCTATGTGGATCTTTAAATTTAGTAGCTCCTGTGGAGAGAGCTGGCTATATAGGGCTAACGCATTAATGAGCATCTTCCTTCATGGTTCGGAAAAGGTCAAATAAAATCTTTCAGAAGTTTTATTTTGGCTCATTTGATTGATAGCGGTCACCAAGTGGACAAAAATAGTGCCCTCAAAGTTATCTATCGCATTCCATCGAGTCTTTTGAACAGAATTCGAATCCGTCTTTTACACTTAGCCAAAGCTATGGGAATTAATTCGAGAGAACAATCTTAGTCTTTGCAAACAATAAAAGAAGTTTGTTCTACCTTTGTCTCTCCTTTGCTTAGCCTAGGTGAATTGTAATCAAAGCCCTCCAACCCTTTCTTATTTTCCATCTCTTTCGTATTTTTCTGATATTTATTTAAACTCTGATTATCTGTCCACTTCACCTCTAGTATTACGTAACTTTTAAGATTTGACCTAATTTATTTATTGGATTGTCTATCTATACACATGTTACTACCTTTGTTATTCCTCTCATCGCCATCTGCATAAACCTTATTATCAATATTTTGTTATCATTATAATCATCGTTATTAACTACGTTCAAAACATTTACCCGCTTATTATTATTATTATTAGTAGTATTATTTGATCCACAAAATCGCCGTCATTGGTTAAAAATTTTTATATATAAGTCTATGTAAATTAGAGTAAAGCCTGATGAAGGGGATCTAATTGAAAACAATATTGTTCGCTTACATGTCTTGTTCTCAAATTATAAATGGGAATAAAATTCTACTCAACTATCCATTTATAATCACTCAATGAGTCTGATCAACCTGCACGAATCCTGATAAGATGATAAGCGATCACCTATTATTGATATTACGCTGAGTATTTCAAAAGCCCATCACCACAGTAGATAGAAATCATCGATTAACTTGTACAACAAACACTTCGACAACTGCAAACTGAATCCCTCATCAGAAACAAACTAATGCTGCATCATAGTCAGCATACAGTCAAAATCAACTGAGAATTATGCATACTCACCTCAGCACTAAGTTTCTGATTTTCCGCTATAAGACAATCCACTTCACTCTCCCATTTGTGTAGGGCCACTTCATTCGCCTCATGGATTCTATCCAATTCACCGGTTAACCGTTTGTTCTCACCAAATAATTCACTATTCGTTTCACTTTGTCTCTTCTGCATCTCTGTGACTGCCTCTTTCGTATCATTCAATGTCACCTCGGCATTTGAAACCCATTTTATGATATGACTGAAATGAGTAGAAAGAAGAGAAAGTGGCCGTTCAGATTACTCACTTCAAACGAACTCTAATATCTTCACTCTTCATTACTATCACATACACTTCATAAAAAATATTCAAAGTCTGTGCTGATCATGGTGATGGATGATGATGATGATGATGATGATGATGATGATGGCGAGAATGATGGTGATAATATCGAGGTGCTAAAGTCGAATACAACTCGACCTAACACCTACCTACCTACCTACTTATTGCATAAAAAGGCGAATCTTCACTAGAATGTCTCACAGAAACAAATAACACGACACAGTATGAGAGTTATCGCCTCTCACACTCACTTACCTTCAACTTCGCCATCCATGACATTCTCGAGACATCTCTGAAAGATGTGTTTAGTGGCTGTGTAGATTTCTGTTATAACGAAAGACGTTTTCACCTCAAGTATGCAAACGATATCGTCATACTCTGAGATAACCTACAGGCTGTTTAAATCACACATAATCAGATGGCAACCAATTCCTATAAGTGTGGTATGTGCTCGAGGTGTCTATGTGGGAAGTATTAATGCAAGACTGGCAGGAGCTCTACGCCTGAGAAACCTAACATCTCTGAGCTTAGGGTGTGAGGCAAATCTGCAATCCGTAGTCGCTGCCACTGTACAACTCCATGAGTCTGGTAGCACTGCCGTAGAAGTTATTTTGTTTATTATCATTAGTTCTGAGGTCCAGAAGCGTGTCTTGCCACTTGGTCGAGGCTTTTGAAACAATAGCTCTAGTTACTTCGACATCTGTGAATGTCATCACGCGGACTAGCATACTCTTGGCTATTCCCCAGCCATGTCTGTGATGGGATGCATAAGGTGAAGGAGTGGCAAGTCGATGATGTAGTGTCGTGGAATGAAGCATATCTCTGTAAGATAAATATCCACTAGTTGATAAATCAGAAATTCCTGGGTGTAGTCCCACAGATAATTCGAGTCGTTAGTTCAGATATCATCAGATATCACCAACGATCTTAATCAATGCCCAACATATTACAATCTCAGTTAAAAGTTTGAGCATTGTGGATTAGATCAAATAAAGTATAATTATATTTTAATAGTTTACACACAATGATAAGTTTTGTTTTTGGTAATATTTCGAGCAAAAATTACTGCTCCGTGTTCACACCACTGTTGGAATTGTTTTATTCACACATTTATGATTTGTACTCATATATATAGTTCATTATTATTATTTTTTGTTCATTCATGTTTGTGTGTGCATATATGTGTTCAGAATTAATTCTTTGTTTGATATTTTATTTGATATTACAATCCCTCTCTCTTTCTTCTCTTTTTCAAAATAAAAACGAATCGCAACACCGTCGTCTTGTAACCACCGAAATCATGTCTAGATGCTTTGAAAAGTAGACAAATTACCCATATAAGTATTACACCAGTATAGAAACATTTCGCCTGAAATAGTAACAACTCTACCCAACAAAGCAGTATAAACTTCAACACCAACTGGATGTATTTACACAATTCGAATAACCTGTCTCGTCTGAGGCAGAATTTCTTTTCCATTTATATATATATAAATATATATTATATATATATATAATATAATATATAATCTCCAAACATTTGAAATCAGTAATATAAGAAATTAGTAAACAAACAAAAGGTGTACATGAAATCTACCTCAGTTAAATGCTTTGAGTTGTCGATAACACTGCCTCGATGTCTTACAACAGCCAGAAGAACTAACGAGATGAATCTTTGCAGGATAAACTTCTCCTTCATACTTTGATATTCGCTTTCAGCTTTCAAGACAGCTAACCCCAATCCTTTCAGATGATTATTTACCATCACAAAGGATGCTAAACCCTCTCCAAAACCCAAATCACCTATTTCAATCAGATGTACGCAAGTAGGTAAGTTAGTAAGCAAGTAAAGGAACAATGAAAAGAGACACAAAGGATTATAATGCAAGGCTTTAAAACAGAATTAAAACGATTAATAATCTAATCTAGCAAATGATGATCCAACATTATCTTCAACAAGATAGATATTTATACACGGGGCAAGTTAGTTGACGCGTTGTCTATTCTTCATAATTGAAGCCAAATCACTAATCATCAACCTTTTTCGCCACGAAGAGAAAACTCAGTGAAACATGAAAATCATGTCTCATGTAGGCGGTGGCAGAGGCAGCGGCAGCGACAAGCCTTCACACTTATAAAGTGACAATCTCTTCCAAGAAAAATACTAGTACGATAACATTTATACTCACGATGTCCACTCCAACACTATTTAATTAATCTCATCGATAATCAACTTCTTTCTTCAGATTAAGTCTAAATTAACCACATCCATAATCAGTAAACTCATCAATCAATTCATAACTCATTTCACTTCTTCCATCCACAAGAATACACAGGCTTCTCGTTTGAGCTGAACAACATTCTCTAACTCACTTCACCAATGAAAATTTATTAACTAATAGAGAAAGAAACACGAACATTGTTTCACTGAAACTTTTAATACAATTTTGTCGCTTCCCGACAAATACCCCACCCACTTCACTCCGTCCAAATAGACAGGAGTAGGTACACACATTATGAGGGAAACCATACTCGCTCCATCAGAAAATATACCTCACAAATGCAAAACATATCATACAAACGAGATAATCAATCCACCCATCAACCCACTGCAACTTTCACGTATCAATCAGTCAGAACTCTGCAGATATACAATAAGCAACCCACACTTTTAGATAAGCTCAAACCAAGATTTCTGTGCAGATACACACCTGCTCCACCATAATACACTCTGCTTGAAACTCGCTTAATAGTAGGAACGCACTCAACAGTGTACTTCAAACTCTCTTTCATTCAAACTCAAATTACACAGAACAGACCTTTCATGTACCAGACAGACTAAGAGCCACATTCATACCGCGATGGCTAGTCATACTACACAGTTAGATGTAGAGCTTCAAACATGTGGAACGAGACTCCAACATGTCACCAGTCAGCTGGAAACTGAGTGCTTACGGCCAACTGGTTAGTCAGTCACATCTCCACTTCAAACTATAATACAATATGTTTCACCAGCTACTAACATTCATCACAAGTCACGAACAACTGCTTCAAGTACGGAAAAAGAAAGAGACAAAAAGTACTCACTTGACACTGGAACCTCAGTTCTCGTATCCACTCCCGATTGAGATGAGTCTGGAGAAGAAGGTGGACTCATCCCAAAACAGCTCAATTCCACTTACAAGATTCGTCAGAAGGCGCTCCGGAACCACACCCTTGGTTGCGAGTCAAAGAATTCCCCTTCGCTAACTTCTCCGCTTCACATCTCGTCAGAAGTTCTTCATGCTGACGCAACAATTCGTGTAACCACAACAATGTAAATACAATATATTTAGGAATAATCTAAGCAGTCATCAGACAAACAATTCACAAAACTACGACGAAGTTATATGTCGATAGTGTGGTAAAATCAATTATTCTGAACAAGAGTTAAAACTGTTAGAAAGTGTCTCCACTTCCTCCTCCTCCTCCTCACACGAATTCACTACTTAGTTCTCACTCCACCTCGTAGAGAAGATTCTTCACACTGAGTAGAACACACCACTCCAAAATTCTATAGCAAGCTCACTTAGAAAGCATCTGCTTCAGCTGGCTTCAAATCGTGACAAAACAAGAGGACAGTGTAGAAAATCCCATAAAATTAAATTCGCTTCAATTAAACTACCATACAAAAACATACGAAGACACTATGAGGAAGTAAAACAACAAAATGTTATAAAGAGTAAAGGAATTTAACCGGGAACAAGTGGCTATTGTGAACACATTCAAACCGTCTCTTGTTAATCTATTTCGAATAACAGAAGACACAACGAGGCCAACTACACTACACCCCTCACGACAGCTGCCTCAATTTCCGTCAATTGTTTGCTGCACAAGTGCCATTATGTTTCTGTCAAAACCTAGCTGAAAACTTGTAATCCATCGACACTCTCCTGCACACTACAACCATATTCAATTCTCCACCCCTACCATGCTGCATCACAATATATGCTTTTCACAATGAATCCTCTGACCAGTTAAATGTCGACCACACCGTGTTTGCTCACACGACTCACACCTGTACAATTGCTTCCATCAATCGCTATCACTAATACCTCAGACAAATCTTATCAAAAAAGCCACGACAATAAAACATTCTTCAAATGTTCTCCCTCAGCTTCCATGCATCGAATTCCATAGTTAAAAAACACTTTCACTCAAGCAATTTACACTCCATATCCACGATTACACTAACACGGTGACTAAATCAAACACGATTCAAACTAATCAGTACTAATAACTGTTCACATACGATCCCAGCATACCAGTCATACTTTTATCAGAAACTACCTGACTACCGTACCATTTCAAACATCAGTATAAAACTTTGCACACGTGTACACAAGTATCTACACGCATCATCAACTTTATCACTATTTCTAATACCTGACCCTCGAAAATCCCCAGCCGCCAACCTTCATTTTACCTGAACTATTATGCACACAACTACTATGACATTCATTCATAAGTCACGGACCCATTCCAAAAACACAATTTTATCGCATATGCCGTCTAATGTCTACCATAGACATTCAAGCAACACGTTCGCAGTTTCACTCGTTCCTAAGAATTACTCAGTATCTAGAACAGAATTCAAAGCAAAACATCGCTTCCATACAGAAACCATGTCTCATACCTGTGGAGTTCATTCAATATAACAAGGAACAGTAAGTTACACATGAAATGTTATCTAGTAATACCAATTATATCAAGTACTTGGTAGAAAAGACATTCAAATATGTACCAACATCACAATACCCATGGCCAACTCTCATACGACCAACTTCCAAATGAACCCATTAGCCTAACATCACAATTATGAAAACTGCGAAAGACAGTTATCAATCAGGTGGGTAATGCAACTTCCACTCTAAGGGTTTCTTTGTAAATCCCTGACGCCAGTAACGAATGTCAAACAAGTACACAAAATTCGCATGAAACACCTCTCTCGCAGATTTGGTACATTTCTATCACACAAAAACAAATACCGGTGCTACGATTCCTTCCTCCTTATCATCTTAACAAAACTCCATCCTTATCCGATCTCATGAATGTGAAATAAAGCGTCGGCAAATCTCTATTCTACACTACATTTCACTGAATTCATCCCAACCCCCCTCCAAAATAAGAAACAATGGAATGACAGTCCATCAGTCAGTCAACCTTGTGATGAAAATAACTGTTCCCTTCGACAACTTAAAACTGCTTCACTTATGTCACACTTTATCACAAGAATCCGTCTGCATTTCAAACTTACAAAAACAGTACTGTAAAACCAACCAAATCGACTGAAATGAGTTGGACTTAATTGCAATCGTCACAACTTTTATTTGAAGTCACGATTAATTTCTATGCATTCCCAAGGGGGAAATGAGGTGGTGGAGATGACAGGAACATAATAAACACTCCTAGCCTATTAGGTTGAGTAACTATCTGAAAGCAATCATACTTCATAGGATTGAAATTAACTCATTGAGCTGAAATCACTAATATAGATCGTCAGGCGATGAACTTAATGCAACCGACAACGCAGTAACACTGATTGCACAAGCATTCATGTTAGTGACTTCAACTCACTAAGCTTATCTCAATCATATAAGGTATAATTTCTTTCAGATTGTTACGTAACCTCATAGGCTGGCAATGTTCACCATCTTCCTATCTTCTACTACACCTCATTTCCGTCTTTTCAATTCACACAGATCAATGATGACTTCAACTAAAAACTGTGATGTTGACATTTCGGATGACCTAATTTTTACCCTTTACGCTTCTATTATCGCAATATTGAAGTTCCTCATTGAATTCCTTCGTAACCATTGTAATTTCAGCTAGTCTACAGTTGGTGAGAACCCGCGAAGTAAAATATTGTCATTTTATATGGCCCCATCGAGATCTTTCTTCGAGATCACCATCGAGATCACCGATAGACTTGTCATAGGAACACATGAAATTAACACAGTTAAGAGGTTAGAAAATAAATTTAGGTCTAATTAAAAGCACATATTGAAGTTCAAAATAAAAAATGAAGATCACTAAACCAAATAACCGGTATTAGTACATCTACACTGACTGGTATCAAAACGAAGTTTAACAAAGAAGGTTTCAAGTGATGAAGAACAGATTTTTGGAGCTTTTAAAGGTGGTTCAAACTTCCTAATCACACTTGGGCTTCCACAAACTATAGGATGCAATCCAAACACGTTTTACAGATAGGTTTAAAAATGTACCAACGTCAATTTTATGTCCTCTCTCTATAATATGTTTCGTGATAAAGGAGTTGAGGCTCCTGTTCCCACTATTAATAGCTTCTGAATATTCTGTTCGCCTCTGGAACCATTTAGGAATATGATGCGTAGCCCTTACTTGCAGACATCGATGAGTCCTTCCTAAATGGATATAGCAATTGCTTCTAAACCTTACGTCCATAGCTTCAAGAGATGTCGGACACTACTTCTACGCGATTTCAAAATAATTTTGCGAATTAACTTCGAACAAACGCAAATGATATGGAGTCAAAAAATAACAAAACCAAACTCAATGATTGGACGAAATGACGTACACCCCAGATGTCTTTACGCACCTTGTCACGAGGATGGTATCCAAAACACGGAAATTACTAGTTTAGCGGTAAATAATTCCCCAAAATTATTGACCACAACAATCACTCATCGGATGCTGACCACCTCTTTTAAGTCGACTTGTTTAGCTGAAGGCTTCGAGTCAAGCATCCCCGCCATTTGGTACTCCGTCGTGTCACGTGCGGCACGATCACTAGCCAGCTAAGTGTTCGTCTGACGGCTCGTTTTGGTCCCGAAATATATCGCGTAATTTGGACGATCAAATACTGTCTTTTGCTTTGCCTTTGGTACGCGAGATTGAGATACACTGGAAGTTGTCGACATAAGAGATTGCGTCAATAAACTTTTGTACTGTTCGCGAACGTTTATACCGTCAACCTCTGAACTGGTGAGCGCAACCACGAACTTCATCCACGACAAATACGCAGATAACCCCGGTGAGTTCGTTCCATTTTTTATTTTTTCTTGTACCATATATTATTCGACATAATTTTCGTCATGAGTGATCTTAGTCCCAAGGTCATTCGTATCCGCTCAACTCCTAAAACCATTCAGCTCGTACCATACTGGCCAGATAATGCTGAAACGTGGTTTCTGCTAGCTGAAGCAGATTTTTGTGAGCATGGGATAACCGATCAACGTTCACAGTTACTTGCAGTTATTCACGCCCTACCGCGGGAATTCAGCAAGTACGTAACATCACAGATGTTGAGTCCCGAGGTAAGTAACTCGTACGAGTTGCTCAAAGCATCCCTCCTCAGGAGAAACGTTCTCACGGACCGACAACGTCTAGATGAATTATTTCGTAACATCGAGTTAGGAGATCAGTCAGCCGTGAGCATGCTGACAAGAATGAGAAAAGTTGGCCAAAGTCAGTTCGACGAAGGACTATTTAGAGAACTCTTCTTAACCAAGCTGCCACAGTCTGTACAGACCGTACTTGTGACACTTCAGGGTACTGTAATAGAGGACTTAGCTATTACTGCAGATAGGATTCTAGAAATAACTAAACGGTCAGTTCCCGAAATATGCTCGATGACTAAGCAGACTTCGAGTAAGGATCCTGCAATGATAGAGTTATGCAACTCCATCCAGCAGATGTTTAGGTCAAACATGCATTCTAACTCCTCCGACCGTCGTCCTAAATCTCCTCAACGCAGGAACTCACGTGGTCGATCTAAGTCCAAACCACGTTCACTGAAAAACCCTGACTGGTGCTGGTACCACAACACCTATGGCCAAGAAGCGAAGTGTTGCCGTAAGCCTTGTAACTTCGGAAATGTCTCAAAGTCTGTGGGAAACTATCCCGCCGGCACGCGTTAGCGGCAACCGTCGCCGGTGGCACTAGCCGCCTACTTTACATCCATGATGTGATAAGCCAGACTCGATACTTAGTCGACACAGGCGCCGAAGTCAGCGTCCTTCCTGCTACAGCAGCAGATCGACAGAAGGAACCTACCTTCAACTTACAGGCTGCAAATGGAAAACCAATCGCAACCTTTGGTAGGAAATACGTCTATCTGAACGTAGGTTTACG